ACAACATACATAACAATTTATTAATGTGTTTAATTAATTTTAATTTTACTCTTAATTAACACAATTAAATTTTATTAATTAAAATGTGTTAATGAACTTATTAAAATTTTGGTTTCCTAACTAAATTTCGGCAGCATAACGACTTATTTTTCATATAATCCAAAAATCAAAACCTGCAGAAAAATAACTTTAAAAGATTTTGGCACACCATAGCTGCAAGATGTGCCACCCAGAATAAGAATCATAAACATATACTAAATTTCAACAATATAACAAAATCATAATTCAAATATTGTCATCATAATCCCGAATTCATACAACTACTACAATTCTAAACTAAATAAAGATAAAAAACTTACAAAGTTCAAACCCACTAAACGGGGGCTGAAAATAGAAGGATTATGTCAGAGGAACTGTGCAAACAAGGATGAAGGTAAAAAAATCAAACGCCTACTCAAACGCCTACATCAAATTAAAACATCAAACATAATTTTCAAACACCAAAATTAACAATTTATTAACATCTAGAGTAACATATAGACACAATGAGAGTTTACAAAAATATTATGGGCTTGATCCGCTTGTATAAAAACAAGGGCTACAGTAAAAAAAACGTAAAAAAGAATGAATACTTTACTTTTTTATAGTTTTAAATTTGATACACAAATAAATTAATTGTTCATTCATAAAAAATTTTTGCATTATGATTAATATTAAATGTTCTCATATGTCTCTCACATTGATATTCAATGAGAGTTTAATCTCAACATAATTGTTACTAATTAATGAGTCATATGTTGATCTATATGATGCATATAAATAGAAAATATTGATCAATAAAGTTAAATTTAAATTAATGAATATGAAAATTTAAGCAATTACTCAAAAATATACGAAGATAATTATCTAAAGTCCGGTCTAATTTTACGAAGCTTAATAATTTATGAAAGGCTACGACTACAAATTCTATAGGAGAAAAAATGCTATGCTCTTCATGCTCGAATCTAATTCTAAATATAATCTAGTTCTAAGTATAATGCCTAGGAAATGATTCTAAGTTCTAAGTATAATCTAGTTATAATAACAAGTTCTTACAGAATTGTTTTAAGAAAAAAAAAAAAAACTCACCTCTATTATATGCGGGCGGCAGTGCAGCGGCGGGGGCAGGGCGGCGGGACCGGGGCGGTGGGAGTAGGGCGGCGGGAACACCGGAAGAGAGACAAGGGGAGAGAGGGAAGGGGAAGGCCGGTGGCGGGGGGCGGCGGCGGAAGGAGAGGGGAAGAAGAAGAGAGATCCGCTCGGATGAGAGAGAGAGAGAGAGCAGGGAAGAGAGAGAGAAAGAAGGGAAGAGAGAGAAGGAGAGGCCGGCGGCGGCGGCCACGGGAAGAGGAGGCTACGATGGAGAGATTTGTAGGAGAGAGAGAGAGAGAGAGAGAGAGAGAGCGTCGGGAGAAAATGAAGAAGAAGAAGAAGGGGATATTAGGTCAGAGTTATTTGCGACGACATATTCGTCGCAAATAAATTTAAAATGTTGTCGCTAATAATAAAATATATTGTCGTCGCAAATTAATAAAATGTCATCGCAAATACTAAAATATTTGCGATGATATTTTCTCGCCGTAAATATTTTAAAGTCATCGCAACTAATGCTTTTTTCCCGCGCCTACTTTATCATCAAATAAGATTATTTGCGACGACAGTAAAACAATGTCGTCGCAAATAAGGTAAAACTATTTGCGACGATGAATGTCGTCGCAAATAGTGATGACTTGTCGTCGCAAAAAAAATGGATTACCTTGGCGTCAATAATCCGCGCCATTGAAAATTGCGCGCCAATATTATTTGCGACAACATTGAAATTATTAGCGACGACATGGCTATTTTATTTAATGGTAGGTATTTGCGACGACATGTCGTCACAAATAATGTATTATTTGTGACGACAAATGTCGTCGCAAAAAATGTCGTCGCAAATGGGCATAATTGTTGTAGTGTTTCCCGCTAGTGTACATAATTACATAACCCCTTTTAGAAAAGAAAGTGCATGCAAAAGTTCTTTGGTATGTAAAAGTTATGCATCACAAGTTTTAGATAAGAATAATACCATCCAAGTATATAATCAAGTAGACATAATTGAAAATATTTTATAACTTCTTAATTTTTTTGTTTGTATTTGTATTTGTAATTTTATTTTTTTGTTTTACTTTTTAAACAAAGTTTTTTTTCCCCTAATATATATTTAAAAGTCCATTGAATGTTGGATTGATTCGAAAGGGGGGGAAATGGGAATAAAAAGGCAAATAGTATATTCTGAAACAATTTTGAAGTAAACAGCATATATTTAAGACGATTGAAGTAAATAGTATATTTACAAGCACATATTTATTTTCCTCACATAAAGAAAGTATTATTTAATTTCTACGCATTATATTATCAATATTACTAATTAATCTTTAATTTATAATTAATTACTAATTATCAATTATCCTAACAAAATGCAAAAGCCAATTATAAGAGGGCACAAAAAGAGCTTATAATTCGGAAAGTATAGAGCCAATATCTAAAGGCCCTCTGTCAAAAGGAAAAAGGGAAAAAAATAAAAGAAAGAAGGAAAAAAAAAGACATTTACGTGGTAATGTTTGACAAAAATAGATGCATGTTCCATATATTAGACTACACCAGATGATGCGTGTCCGTGTATGTATGCTAGTATGTAAAAGAGATATTCATATATCATAGAATATTACAAATGATCATGGTTAATTATTATTAGTACAAGAAGAAAAATCTATAGGCTCATCGGCTTACAAGTCAAGAGAAAATATAATCCCAATAGTGATCGACATAAATCAAATTAGAATACACATACGTAAACTCCGACATGCATGCCATGAGTCGTAAACAACTCTTATTTCTGGATAGTGAAGACCTAACATCGACCTATCCATTTTCATGATCACTATGACCTCATTTCATCAGTTCGGATGACCAGGACTACTCGGTGGCTGGTAGAGTCCAGTTGAGGGCTTGTTTCCTGGGTACTGACCGGAAGGTGGCGCCTCTTGCCCTGGCGAGGACACCGGTGGTTGTATAAATGGTCGCTTCTCCACTTTAGGTGATTGAGTTGGAGGTTGCGGTTTGGGTTCGGGTTGGGGCTGAGGCCTAGGCTCAGGCTCAGTCTTCCCTCCATAAGGAGGATTATTAATTGGGGTTGGTGGCGAGTTAGGCATCTCTCCACGCTGGGGAGGATTTGGAGACACTAGGGTTGGTGGCGAGTTAGGATTCTCTCCTTGCTGTGGAGGATTAGGAAACACTGAGGCTGGTGGTGAATTAAGCTTCTCTTCATGTGTAGGTTTCGGGTAGGCCGGGGTTGGTGTTGGGTTCGGCTTTTCCCCATTTTGTGGAGGGTTCGGATTCGCTGGGGTTGGTATTGGATTAGACTTCTCCCCATTTTGTGGAGGATTCGGATTCACCGGGGTTGGTGTCGGGTTAGACTTCTCCCCTTGTTGTGGAGGGTTCGGATTCACTGGGGTTGGTATTGGATTAGACTTCTCCCCATTTTGTGGAGGGTTCGGATTCACCGGGGTTGGTATTGGGTTAGACTTCTCCCCATTTTGTGGAGGGTTCGGATTCACTGGGGTTGGTGTCGGGTTAGACTTCTCCCCTTGTTGTGGAGGGGTCGGATTCACCGGGGGTGGGATTGGGTTAGACTTCTCCCCATTTTGTCTATAAATTTCAAACGCATGAGTTAAGAAAAGGAAGAAAGAGAAGAGAGAGTGTGGAGGGTTCGGATTCACCGCAGTTGGTGGCGTGTTCACGACCGGAGGTGACCCAAAATTAGGAGCATCCTGCTTATAGTAATCGGCAAAAGTTTGAGTGGTCAGAAACACTCCAAGGAGTAAGATGAACAAATGAGAGGAAGACATTGTTTATGAGACTACTTTGTAATTGCTTTTGGAGTGGTGAAGCCTAATGCTTGCGATATGGTCTTTTTATAGTGGTCTGGATGACGGATTTACCGGCAGTAGAACGTGTTAAAATCTGTCCCTTAATTAGTAATTGTACCTACGTATTACATATTATCAGTTAAAGGCTGATTTGTTAGCTTATTCATGAGATAAGGAATCACTTGAAAAGTTTTTAGATTTTATTTTATTTTATTTAGAAAATCTGAATAATTAATTTCATCCCATTAGTTTTTTACTCCGACAATATTTATATCTATACACACACATAAAAAAATATCTGTAAATTCATCTGATCACTTGTGATTGTAATCAAAGTTACATAGTATAGCCTATAACTATAATAACATATTAATGTTGATTCCAACGTGTTTGTCGTGTATAGGTGACACATATACATATTTATACTATAATAAATTTATATATATAAACACGTGATTGACATAAGCTAATCAATCAAGAAAAGAAGACAGATACAATAATATGAATTAAATTAGTAGCGACTCGAATGGCACTCGATCCGGTTACCGAAATTATAATTATATGTTTCCTTCCTTGTTGAATGATCTTCACATGGTTGTTCTATTTTTCTTTTTCCTCCTTTATCTGCAAAGTAATTTTATCCAAGATCTGGTCGGTGCACTTTATTTTTTTGATGGACCAACAATGTTACGATGTAATTTCCGCCAAAAACAGTACTATTTACAATATCGAATTATATTTACGTAAAAGCCTAGCTAGACTGTGTTGTACATATAATTCCTTTTCATAATTTACTTGTCACTTTAAATTATGAGTTTAGCCAAGTTTACAGAACTATGCGGGTTCTCGATAGCATCTTTGTTAACGTTTTTGTTGTTGCCAAAAGAAAAAAGGAGGAAAAAAAAAAAACTATAAATTTCAAACGCATGATATTTGATGCTAAATTTAACACCAAAGATAGCGTATGCTAAATTTAGAGTGAAAAAAACCCTGATCTGTTGTAGAGCACAAAACATAGAGCGCCAAAACTTAGACGGCCAAGAGCAGTGAAAACCAATAAGGTATAGATTTTCCCAATTGTGTGAACCATTCACGGACGTGGACCACACTTCTACAAACTGGACATTTACCGACAAAGTGAACACGTAAAAAATGTTCTCCAAGCGTCGAGGGAAACAATTTCCAAAGTGCTAATTAATCTTGATGCAATTTATACCCCTTCTCGTCATTTACATATAATTTATAATATATATTTATGAAAAAAAAAAAAGAAAAGGAAGAAAGAGAAGAGAGAGAGAACAAAAATTAACATGGTAATGAATGGTGTGCCCGCCAAAAAAAAAAAAAATGATTCCATAAAAATAGGAATAACAACCACCAATTTAGATAACTATACATATAAAAATAATTAACCATCAATATAAATTTTGAATGGGAATCAAATCATATGATAAATTAAATTTGTATCCCACAAAATCAGATACAAGATCTTATTCTATTTTAATAGTATGTATATATATGAACGAGTTATTAATAGTTACGGTTTTATAGTTAAATATATAAATATGATGACGCGGCGTGATAAGAATATAATTTCATTAATTATTATTAATTTTTTTTGGTCAATTATTCAATTAATTACATCGGTCAAATTAATATCTTGTAGCTAAAATTATAAAATCTATTGATAGGTAAGTGTTGGAGTAAACATTAAAACTATATATATATATATATATATATATATATATTATAATGCCATGTGGGTGGTACCAATATAATAATATGGTGTATAAATAGGATACTGACCCGAGAAGAAAGGTCTTGGATGGCTCCAAAAGATGTCACTGTAATCTGTACTCTTGAATCTAGCTTCGCATTAAAGAGTCCTATATATCTTTATCGTGTAGTGGCAGTGGACCTAATTTTCCTATTTGAACTAAAATTACAAAAGAAAATTCTCCAACTCTAGTATGTTTAAATGTGTACGGTTCAGATTAGTGAGGTAAGACAAACCCAGATGTATAGCTGCTAGTGCATGACTTATTTGTCAATAACAAGCACTTACATCCATCATTATATCTGCATAGGAAATCAAGAAAAAAGCGGATACTTTTTCTTTTTTTTTTTTTTTTGTTTTTTTTTGCAAACCAAGAAAGATGCGGATACTTGAGGAACAATTTTCCACCATAAAATCACCTTACGCATGAAAACTTCAATCTACGTGAAAGCAAGCACAAAAGAGATTCTTGGATATAAACTAAGAAATTATACGATAGGAAAGATCACAATTAATAATAATTGGATTTTATTTTTAAATCGTTAGATATATATATATATATATAACTGTTTATTTTGTATATTTTTATTTTATTAAATTTAATTATTGAAAATATGCAATATTTTTAATATGAGGTCCTACAGTAGAAAAAGCCTATAAAATAAACATGAATTAATAAAGGACCGTATTTGGATCAATAGCAAAGTCAGCAATCTACTTCAGTGTGAAGGTGTACGTACCTTACTTTTTGTTTGTATATATAAAAAAAATAAAGGGAAACGGATTAAAATTCAGTGGGGTGTACATGCAAAAATCGAATATCAATGGTGCAATATGAGAAAATAATAAATTTTTTAAAATTTATTAAAGAAAGAAAGATCAGCGCTGGTGGTTTTGCCCAACTTCGCCTCAACTGGCTCTGCTATTGATTTGGATATGATTTAAGTATCACAACCACAAGGTGCTAAGTTAGGATTTTACTCCCAAATAGTTTGATAGACGTAACATCTATTATAGTTTCATGAAAAGCGCTTGATATTATTTCTAGACTACCGGCATAATGATCATTAATTTTGGCGGAGCTAAGAAGACGCGCGTCGTCTCCTATAACTTAGTTATGCCTAGATGCACACATTACTCTATGTGTCCCTGTGTATGATCAAGTTCTAGAAGGTGGCCAGGCCAATGGCTACTCCCCACACCTTTTTCTATTAAAAAAAAGGTCATATTTTTTTTCTTTAATAATTCTTTATTCCCAACAATATTAATTCTCTTTAGTTGTACTTTCAATTTCGTTTACTTGGTATGTACGAATACAATCACAAAAGTAACATGGCTGGATCTCATTATGATGCTGATGGGACGAAAATCTTCCACATAATATATAAACTAACCTATAACCATCAAGTTTTTGTCAATTGTCAAACAACCAAATACACAAAATTAACTTTGAAAATTCACCGTCAGAGATTAAGATATGAGAAATATATTACTTGATAAATTAAAGCATTGGAGGCTGGAGCAAGCTGGTTTCTTCTGGAAGGGGCAAAAAAATAAAATAAAAAGGCGATTGATAATCTTTCCACCTAAAGACGTGCTTTTCTTTTAATTTATTTTAAGAATATAGTTATGAGCTACCCTTCCTCGATCTTACATTCGCTGGTTGTGAGGAACGTTAGCTAAAGTTTTATTTCTTCTTTTTTTTTTTTTTTTTTTTTTTTTTTAATGAACAATGAAGCCAGATAATTTAGGACATGTTCTTTTGTCCAAAAAACTAAAAAAAAAAAAAACAACTCAAGTTTCAACTTTATTCAAGTTCACGTTCTTTTAAGTTTCAATTTTATTCAACTTCACTCAACTTTATTCAAGTTACAACTTCAACTCAAGTTATAACTCAAATTCAACTCAAAAACTACACTCAAGTTGCACTCTAAAAGAACAACCCCTAGTCGTCTGTAAAAAGTGAGCAAAGTCTCATAATATGAGATCTATAAATGAGGGCCCACCTTTAATTAGTGATGGTCGGAAAATGAATTTGACCAAACAAGTTAATTAAGCTCAAAATAGAGTAATAATTGAAAGAGGCATGCTACTTGAGACTAGCTCAAATTTGAGTGTGTGAGTATGTGTCCGTGAGAATTTAAATTAGGGTGGTTGAAGTTTTTGTGTAAATTGAGAAGCATGAACCCCATGCTGTATAAAGAAAAAAAAATGAAAGAGGCATTCGGCACTCTCAAAAATAACTTAATTATCAACAGAATTTTAATAGTCAACAATGAAGTAATTAAAGCCCCGTTTATTTCGTTAGTTTGAATCATTACGTAAATTTTTGTTATAGTGTTTTCTCTTATAAAAATTTAAATTTAATGTTTTTTGCTATAATGTTGTTTCTCACACAAATTCACTTTTAAACTCAAATTCTCAACTCAAACGAGCAAAACGGACAAGGTCTAAGTACCCTTAAAAAAAAAAAAACAAACTTAATTGTCACGAGTGTTACAAATAGTCCACAATTAAGTAACAAAACCCTTAAAGTAAAAAGACCAGATTGACCAGATCTCAAATTATATAATACACACACACACACACACACACACACACACACACACACACACATATATATATATATATATGGAACAACCATGTGAGGATCATCATTCAACCCGGAAGGAAGGAAACATATAATTAAACCTCTGTAACCGTACTGCCATTGGAGTCGCTACTAATTTAATTGTCATAATCTAAGGTTTGATAGGGGAAAATACTTAAAAGGTTCGTTTAGTTTACGCATTTAAGTCAGTGATTCTAATTCATTAGTAAAAATTTTATGAGAAAAAATTTCTAAATTCAAATTTTTTATAAGATAAAAACTATCGTAGTAGAATCATAATCTGAGTTTAAGTATAAGAACTAAACAGGCTGCATATCCTTGTGTGTGTCTTATTTTCTTGATATTTATTCACTTCTTTAGTTACATATCAAACACATGCTTATATATATATATCTATATATATATATGGGTGTGGTTTTAATGATTATTTCAATATTTATCCGTCAGTGAGTATTATTGTTTTAGGCACAAGATATTAATCCGACGGTTATAATAAATTGAATAGTTGACTAACAAAATTAATGACAATTAATGAAATTGAATTCTTATTCCGTCATGTCATCAAATTTTTATATTTAGATGTGACTATCG